TTATTAACAACAGAGAGCTCAAGGGTTACCAACCTGTTGTACTAAAATTCTCGTCTGCTATGCTAATCTCAACGTGCGTCTCGTTTCCTTTTGCGTCATCTGAACAACATGCCAGAAACCTTCTGACGATAAACTCATATACAGTCTTTTCATCTCCAGTCAAACTAGCCGTATTCTTAGTCGGATGAATAGGTGGATGAGCTTGATCGTTTTGTTTACCTTTGCGGGGCGCACGGAACGCTCCGTTGCTGAGCCTGCGGTTGAATGCTTATATAAGATTTGGCCCAGTTCTCTTAAAAACATTGGCAAACGACTTACTTTCTAGCATAGTCCCCCCATACTGTACTGGTTTCTTGAGCAGTGATTAATGATTTCAGGTCCATGCTGGGCGGAAATTCATTTGTTTCCGTTCTCGGATAACTGATAAACCCTTTGTTATACAATGCTTCTGCAACCTGTGGTTACGATGGCGTTTCATAGAACCGGGAGCAGTCAGTGACGATTTCAAAGCATATCGACTAATAGTAATCTTTAACATAGTCACTACAAAGTTCTGTCAAATATCCTTATTACTGGACAGTCCTCTAAAAGATTGTATTAAATCCACTATTTCGGAACAATACGTTTACTAAAAGCGGGACGCTTATTTACCGTCATTATTTTTTGAGAAGACATGCGTAGGAATCGCGTTCCAGCTTTCTGAAGCTCGACTGTAGTCAATGGGTATGGTTTCCTGTAGTCAATAAATGTAGTCAATAAATGTAGTCAAATAGTCATTCCCGTGTAAGCTTGATTTTTCTCCCTAATAACAATACTGACCACTTTTTAGTTTCCTTCGACTGAACTTTGAGAACTGTTGCAATGGGATGTTCCACGCACTGTTCGTAAAGCACCAAACATGCTAGTTGGTCAAATAGATGGCCTCTCGCCCACCAAAATTCGACCTTAGATCCATCGCGTTCAAGGGTGACGGAAATCTTCCAGAAAGTTTCCGTGATAAAGTTTTCGGCCTTTAAATATTGGTCGACGACAAAGCCTAAAGTTGGAAACTGGCATGACCCTTGATGAAAGTAAATAAAATGTTACTGAGTTAGATCAATCATTAGCATAACATCTTTGATAAACAAATTTATAGAATAAAGATTACCATAACTTATTACTTGCTTTTGTGCGCCTTGAATCAGCCTTTTGAATCCCAACGTTTGAAATCTTGTAAAAGCCGCACCGATGCGTAAATCCAATTCACTTCTTGCATCCACTGCCGCTACCTGCCGTGTATCCAATTGCACAGGCGATCTCCATGCTTGAATTATAGGTCTATAGTGGGTCATGTGCAATTAAGTTAGTTATCCTGCCGTACAATTAGAAAAAATCGTATGCGTATGTTATAAAATAAAAATCATGGCACACCAAAAACTCACTGATTGCTGATAGACGAAAAGCGCGCTCGAAGCACTTGTATGCGATGGTTTGCTTGCCGAGACACGTTAACGATTTCTGCGCCGATGTTCTCCCCTTCTCGATCGCAATCGGTCCATATAATGAGTTTATCTGACTTTGCTGCTTCGGATGCGATGTTGTCACGAATTGGCTCCATGCCCTATTTATTTTCAGATACGCAATTAAATCTGTACGAATCAACGCTTCGTTACGAAAATGCTTGTGCTAAACAGACCTTCATGACAGATTTTATTATTGGAGCTTCGAATAGACATAATGGCGAACACTTTCCCCATACTTGATACTGTTCTGGAAAGTCTATGGCCATGAGATGGCCTTTGACAGAAGTCATGGTAACTCTGACATCTCGATTCTCAGCATCCTTGCAAAGGAAGTCGTAGTTTTTTATATATTTATCCTTCGTATTACGCTACGTAATATATAATAAGTCTGTGAATTCTGCGACAATCAATTAGATGACTATCATCAATTGTGATGACTCACATTGCTTATCCGGCCGCCAGAGAGTATCTGCGCAATAGACTTTGCAACAGACGGCTTCTCAGCAACACATAAGACTTTCATCTACGGCAAGACACGTAATTCTTGTGATTGTAACTTAACGTCGCGCGCGTAATTTTACTCTAGTAGTAATACAAATGCACGACGATCCACAAATCACGGAGTGAATTTCGACCAATCAAATAATTTCGTAGTAAATGCAAATCGTCTAGTTAAAGCTGTGTGGGACTTTAATAACTATAATGTTTGAAAATATCTCTATTCTCGAGCCAACTGAAACGAAAAAAATAATGATTTTAAACGCTCACAAATACTTTTCAGAGAAGAATCCCTCATCAAAAGTTCACACTACGCAAGCGTGTTGCTGAGGTTCTGGGAGTTTCAGAAAGTACAGTTGAGCGGGTTATTCATAAATGGAATGAGTGTAGAAATGGCTCTAAAGTTACTGTTGATTCTGGAAAAGAGCACTTAACAATGCAAAAGAATATAGAGAAACGGTGAGCATGTATATTTACCTAATGAGGAAACTGATGACGAATCCTTTTCTGAGTAAATTTTTAATGAAATTATATCAAAATGTTTCCGAGAAACTATTGGTAAAATCAGATTTTAGAAAAATTTTCTTAAAAATTTTATTTGCAATAATCTGATGTATCTACCTTTTTACACCGGGTTAAAGCAGAGACAGGTGTATCATTTACAGCACTTGAGACGATTACAGGAGCAAGCATCGGTGTTAGGCGTGAAACAGTGGCAAGATATAAAAAGAAACAGGAAGCGAACCACATTGACACAGCTGGAATGTTCGGATCGGAACATGTAAGTATAAAATTCAGCGAAATTCTACATATATTCTATTATTCGTGCTGATGTATGTTGATATTAACATCAATGATGGATGAATTATGATAGTGCTTAATGTGGATGACTACCATAACATCGACTGGAAACGGCGGGCTGATAATGCAACGATCTCTGAAGTTCATCATCTCCGCACTATCCTGTTGAAAGCAGCACCTGGGATTCCAGCTCTTCCATTTATGAACTTGCGTACAGGCAAAGATATTATTAATCCAAATGGTATTGATTCTGATATTATGATCGGAAAAGTGCATCATTCAATTTTTCTACATTTTTGGTTAACGTATAATGAGCGTAAAATGGCATTTGCTAGAGAATTACCCGAAGCATCTAACCATGATGAGCATATAGAGATGCTTTTAATTCATAGCAGATTAATACACCGACGAGCAGATAGAAGTATGAACAATACTAAACTTGTAAATTTAGTAGAAGGAAGCTTACAAAATGGGAAATTCAGGTTTGATTTTAAGATCAACTTTAAACTCCATACCATCCAAAAATTTTCATATGTCGAGACTGATATTTATCTAAATTCTCGATTATATTTTTCTTATTATTATGAGTGAGTATAACATCGAACCTCAACAATTTAGCCCTTATTATCATGTAAGCCCAATGAGAAAACCAATTACCCCCACTATGATACCTGTATCTTGTGGGCAATTGGAAAGTATCCCTACCAATTCCCAAACGTAGTTAGGATTAAAAACATATTAGTATCAATATATTAATATTACCGATTGTATCTTCATGATCCTTGCATTGAATAACATATTGTGGTGAAAAGCTATGTCGGTACTGACTGGCGACATTCGCAAGCTGTGGCCACGAACTGCTTTTAATTCAACGATCAATGTATCTTATT